ACACACACACACACACACACACACACACAGCGAGAGAGAGAGAGAGAGAGAGAGAGAGAGAGAGAGAGAGAGAGAGAGAGAGAGAGAGAGAGAGACTGCGCACTTTCGTCGGACTTTTCAGCCCCTGACCCCGGCCCCGCGCACCCTTTCCATTTGCCCCTGCTTTGCTACCATTTCGATTTCAACCAAAACCCATTCCGACCAAAACCAAAAGCGCGGTCCCACCGGCAGCTACCGGTCCCTCATTTTTCAAACAAACTGCCACCACCCCCCAAAGTGCCATACCTGCACCTTCCTGCATTTTTCAAGCCTTCCACGACCAAACGACCCGTAATGAGCGACCGGTATAACGAAGGACAACGAAAAAATGTCTCCATGTCTCAAACGGGGGAAAGCGCACCCCTGCTGGGCTGCGAACTGAAAATAGAAGGAAGAAGAAGAGAGACATTTGACTTACCGAGAGGGAACGGGTGCGAATGTTGTGACGCCCAACCTCACGCCCGGCGAGACGTCCTGATCAGAGTGGGATGTGGGCCTGGAAGTGCGAAAAGGGGTGTGCCAAGGATTTTTGGGGAAAGTGGGGGCGGAGTCTCAGGTCGGAACTGAGATCTCCTGTGGCAAGGGTTCAGGGGCATAGATGCAATAGAGCTAAGGGGCGAGTTACTTCCGATCTGATGGCGGTCGATGTCGTGCAGCATAAGGCAGAGGGAATGCGTGGTGCATCCAGGGCCGTCCGATCCGTTTGTTTTGGGGGCGGCGGTTCGGGGAGAGGCCCGTCCGTGATCGTCGTGATTTTTATGAGTCGGACCTTCGGGTGCAGACACATGGCGTCTGTCACCGCGCGTTATGATTGGGTTCCGAAGTTCCAGGGGTTCGGCGGTGGCCGCGTCGTCTGCAATTCCTGCACGGCGTGCGGGGCCGGTGTGGGGCGATGGATTTCCACGGTACCACCGTGAGTTGGTGCTACGGAAGGAGGAGACGGAAGGGAGGGAAATTGGTAGCGATAACGACGAAGCCGGGGGATATGAAGTATTGCGTTGTCGTGTGGGGCGGTCCTGTGCCCTGCTGGGAAGCGTTGAACCTCACGGTCGTGTCACGCAGGATGTTTCGCCTGAAAAGATCCAGTCACCACTCCAACCGTGCGCGCGTGCTATACCTTTCACGACGCCCTGTGACAAGTCGGGACGTCGCGAGGTACAACTTACCTCTACCCAAGGGGCTGTCACCACCCTCAGGTAGGCGTATCCCTGTTAAGCTACCGGCCCACGTGCGAAGGCTTTTACATGCCTGAGTAGAGGTAGGTCGGCCGAGGGCGTTTGCTCGATCGCTGTAGCATAAAAATGGGTTACGCGCCGTAAGACGCCTAGAACTGACCCGTTAGATACTCAGGTCGAACTTTGAGACAGTCGTCTTATTTCCGCTTTTATTCTCAAAACACTTTCTCCTTCTAACCTCTATGATTAATGTATCAGAACCTTGTCACTATCAAAGATAATCTATTCCACTCAACGTATGACTGATAATCAGATAGTATATAAGACTTGATTATGAATAGCGAGGTATTACCGCTGGGAACCCTTCCCACTTTCACAAGTGCTGAGTGTCCAAACTCTCCACGATGTCAATTCCAGTCCAGCTCAAATCATGCACAAAACAGACCTGCACAACATAATGCAAAGACAGTTCACATGCCATGCACTAACGGCGTCAACCATCAACCACTGACATTGTCCCTCATTCCCCAAGCCATGCATGACAACTCTATCTTTCCTGAGATGTAAGCCCAACCCCCTCACATTTCTTCAAAGGACCCTTGAGAATGACCAGGACCATTTAGGCAATGACCACAGGTGACAGTTTTACTGACCACATAGTTTGACTTTAGAGGTGGGTATCAAGTCAAAGGGGGAAAGTTGAATCGGGAACAACCGACCTGTTATCGAGAGATAACATAAAGTTTGGATCCTTTTGTAGATCCTTTCCTTCCAATGCAGCAGTAAAATRAGTCCGGACCTGCACACACACAGGTCAACAAAGATTCAACACCCCCACTCGATTTCCCACATATTGAGATCTAAGGGTCAAGCCCTTAGACATGGGTAGTGAGCTCTAGGATCGACATCCCAGGTCTAATTCTTAACGTCTATTCTCACAACCCTACCCCGAGTCGTCTGTCACTCCTCTTCCCTTTATTTCAAGGAGTTTCATTGCCTATGTCTCAAGCTGTCCCCGAGAAACTCATATTCCCCCTTATTCTCAATACTTGCATATTCTCTTCTGCTGATAAGCACACTCTTTTGTGTTTACGCGGTAATCTAACTGAGATCTACTCATGCC